CACACCACCAATGGTTAAACAGTGTGGTGAGAGACACTATCAGTGAGGGCTGTTGTGGTGGTCAAATTTTGAGTGGCAGGTAACTTTATGCACAGAAGCATGAAAAAAGAATCTGAGAGGCATAGGATCCTGTATAAAAGGTACCCTGTCCCCTCACCAGGCATGGCTCATGGGGGTATTGGGCAAACCTCTTTGTTGACAAGGACTGACAATTTTTTGTGTGTTGCTCATCTCCTCCAAGATTGGTCCTTTTTGACTTTTACTCCTACCATACACTGGAATTGGGGAGCAAGTGTGGACAACCAATACACCACCTAAAAGGGGGACAACCATAGGAGTACTGTCAACCTGTCCAACTCTGTTTTGACTTTACCCCTGGACAAAAATGTGAAAGGAAAAAGGCAAGGAAAAGCAGTGGGCAACAAAAGAACGAAGAACAGCAATCGATGGCAGAAGAGGGCTTCTTTGTCAACAAACGCAACCAGAGGATCTTTACGCGTGCATGGCTCCCGCCCGCCCTTGAAAAGACAAAGTGCGTATATGCAGATTTACGCCGCCCCCGCCCAACAACATCCATCTAATCGCGTGCGGCACAAACCAGGGCGCTGGTGTTCCTGTTCCATGGCCTGGGCGAGCACAGCGGGCGCTACAACCACGTCGCAGCTGCCTTCAACGCTCGCAACTACGCCGTCTTTGCTCTCGACCACCATGGTACGTACGCAACGCAACCTTTTTATCTTTGGTGATGGTGCTGGTGATGATGGTGGTGATGGGTGATGGGTGCTGTGGGCGGGTCGTACCAGGCCACGGCAAGTCAGACGGTGCGCCGATATTTGTGGAGCGGTTCGAGGACTTCGTAGAGGATGCCCTGCTCTTCATCGACGTCGTGTCGGCCCGCTACCCTGCCCACCTCCCCAAATTCATTCTTGGGTAACAATCGCATATGGCACACACGACACACGCGACACGCAGTGCTCACGCACGTACTGGGCGCAGGCATTCCATGGGCGGGGCGATCGCGGCGCTCACGGCCAAGCAACGCCCGAAGGCGTGGGCCGGCGTGGTGCTCTCAGGTGCCGCCATCAAGAGGGGCGCCGACGTCAACGCGCTCACTGTGCACGCCGCCAGGTGAACCCGCTGACTCGTCGTCGTGATCATCTTGCAGCCGCCCACGCACCGCACTCGCACTCACACTCACGCAATTCATCGACGCATTGCGCAGATTCCTCTCGTGGGCGACGCCAACGCTGGGCGTGAAGCGCATCGACCCCAGCACGCTGTCCACCGACCCGGCCCAGGGTATGTTCATACTTGGTCGTGCACTAAGAGATTACACTATACATGACAATATATATGACAATATATATATTAACCTGTTGTTGGTTTGTGTGCGCAGTCAAGGCCTACGAGGAGGATCCGCTGGTGTACCACGGCCCTGTCACCGCTCGCATGGGTCATGAACTGCTCAAGGTCTGTGCAGCGCCCACCCACCATCCACGTGCACCGGCTGAACTTACACACGTGTGCGTGTGTGCGTGTGCATGTGTGTGTGTGTGTGGTGTGTGTCGTCGCCAGGCCGCGGACACCATCGAGAACGATTTCTCGGGCTTCACGTTCCCGTTCCTGGCGTGCCACGCGCTCGACGACAAGCTGACGCACCCCGACGGCTCCAAGGAGCTCTACGAGCGGGCGCCCTCGCCGGTCAAGGACCTCATCCTCTACGGCGGCATGCGACACGAGATCTTCAACGAGCGGGACGGGGCGCGCGTCATCGCCGACGTTCTGCGCTGGGTTGAGAAGCGATACGCCGCCGTTGGTCATTCCCGCGAACATGGACGCGTCATCTCTGCCCTCTAAGCGGACCGAGTTGCGTTGCTTCACCATTACACCCCAAGTCTGGGGGTGCAAGCCATTTATTTATCAAAATTTATCTGCGCTTATTTGTTTATATTATTTATTCGTTAGTTGTTATTTACCTAGAAGGTATTATTTGCAGGATTACTTCGGTTCGTGAAGGCAGCGTCCCCCGGCGTTCGTGGTGTTTTCTAGGACCAGATTCACGGAGCATGTTCACAAAATGCTGTTATTTTTATTTTTATTTTATTTTAGCGGGATTGTGAAAAGGCGCCGCAATTCGTGCAGGATTCGGGCGGGAACGCGAGCTCGTGTCTGTCGGCCTGCGAATTTTCCGAGGTCTCGTCGGCGCGCTTTCTGCAGTTGTTCTCCTTTTCCTCATTTTCTCTTAATTTCTCACTCTGCACAAAAAGTCCGACCAGCGCACCCACAAGCAAAGAGCACGCACGTGTTGGGTAAGCCTCGTGTGACTTTGCCGACAACCGACGATCGAGAGAGAAGAGAACATCCTGCATTGAAAGAAGCAACAATTCAGCTCGGCGAGACCTCAGAAGTTTCTCCATCCATCCATCCTCTCCCTCCTCTCATCATCCCGCGCTCATCCCCCAATAATCCATAGACGATCGATTGAATTCGGTCTCTATCGCTGCTCGACCCCCCCACGTTAATCACTCTTCGACCTCGTGAGATCCCCATCGCGTAGTCGATCTCTGAATCGGCGCTCGTTGCTCATTCGCAACAGGTTTCTTCAGCTATCTCTGGAAGAGAGCGGCTGAAGGACACTCCACCCCCACCCCTAAGCAACTACACAACACATCTCTCTACTCGCCATGTCATCTATGCCGCTCCAGCGCCAGCTGCAGCAGCTGCGCCATGCCGCCTGGGAGGACGACCTCAGCGTCATCAAGGACCTTCTGCAGTCCATCGAAGACGAGGGGAGCGCCTCCGACAGCAGCGAGGCGTCCTCGGTGACCGATGGCGGATGCACCCCCTTTCCCGAGACCGCGCAGCTCGGCTCGACCTCGGCGGATTTCGGCTTCGGCCCGCTGCACTGCGCTGCCTCGATGGGCAACGTCGAGATGCTCACCAGCATCCTCGAGGCCAATGTGTGCGACGTCGATGAGCTCGACAAGGACGGCAACACCGCCCTCATGTGGGCCATCTCCTACGCCTGCACCTCGGCCCCGCCCCCCTCGGGCGGCGCGCCCACCCCCTCTTCGTCCTACGTCGAACCCGACTGCTACGTCGGTGGCGACTGCGCCAAGAAGCGCCGCGAGCTCGAGCTGGTCGAGGCCCTCATCGACCACGGGGCCAACGTCAACAAGGCCAACTTCGAGGGCGAGACCCCCATCTTCGCCGCCGTCAAGCTGGGCTGCGCCGAGAAGGTGGCCTTCCTCCTCGAGAACGGCGCCGACCCCAACGTGAAGGACATCAACGGCGCCACGTGCCTGCACCACGCCGCCGCGCTCGGCATGGACGCCATCGTCGCCATCCTCCTCCGCAACGGCGCCTTCTTCAACGAGCGCGACGAGTGGGACGAGTGCGCCCTCCACTGGGCCGTGCGCGAGGGCGGCGACCGCGCCATGCGCATCGTGCGCCTCCTGGCCGAGCACGGCGCGGTGCTCGACATCTACAACGACGACGACGAGACCCCGCTCGACCTGGCCATGGAGATCGGCGACGACCGCATGGTCCAGCTCCTCCTCTCGCTCGGCGCCCTCGGCAGCGGCTTCGACTCCATGACCATCGCCGACGACTACGACGACGACCACGTCGCGTGCTTTGGCAACGCCCACCACCACCAGCCGCAGCCCCACGCCGCGGCCACGCTCGCCGCACTCGCCGCCACCCCGCTCGGCTCGTTCGAGGAGGAGCAGGACAAGCCGGCGCCGGGCCTGCTGGCGTGGACCGACGAGGCCAGCCAGGTCATGAGGGCCTGCGAGCAGAGCCTCACTCACCTCGTGGCCTGAGGAGGCCCCGATGGGAGAGGAGGAGGCCCCTGAGGTGGGGGTCCCCCGCGTCCAGGAGCCGACGAGTGAGTTCTGTGCTGCGCGTGGAGTGGAGGTGGCGGTGGAGATGCTGAGCCGAACAACGCAACAGAGGATGGGAGCGATTGGTCGCGCGCACACGACTGATTGCTCGCCGGCGCCTCTTTCTGCAGCTCTCCCCGCCTGCCCACCACCGCACACGCACGCACCTCACTCGACGACGACGACGTCTTCCCAACCGCACACGCACCGCATCGCCGCCATTCGCCCAGCATCACCGCCTCGCCGCCGCCTTCGCACGCACGCGCCCTTCGACAGCACCCCTTCGTCCACGCGAACGTTCACCAGCAGCAAGCCCCCCATAATTTTACCCCTCCCCACCATGTACATATGCGGCCACCCTACCCTTTTTATCCTCCAAATATATACATACTCCTACAGTGCTTGCACGTGTTTCTGGTGTTTGTGGCAAACACCAACCAGCCTCCACCCATTGATGAGGATCGGTTGCGCCCTCGGTCTTTTTTCTGTACCCGATAGCTTGCGCCAACCACGGCTCTTCCCGCTCAATAAACCGCCAATCGGCGTTTACCTCCGGATTTTTCCTCCAGCCATCTGGAAGTACTTGGCAAACGCCGCGGGTGGCACGAGACAGAAGCTTCTCCTCTTTGTCGTCTTCGCCAGTGCAGTGTAGTTAACTACATCGCGGGAGGCGTGTGCGCAACTGCGGCAGGCATGTACGATTCGGCGACCCTCGATGAACTGCTCCCCGTCCCCGCGGAGAAGCGCGGCCTGCTCGCGACAGACACGGTCAGCGCGCCAGCAGCGCCCGTGGTGAACAACCTCAAGGTGACCCTCGCGCTCGTGCTCATACAGGTACACGCCCCTCCCTCCTCTTCTCGACTCATTTTCCCGCCCCGGAAGGAAGGATGATGATGGGAGATGAGTGCATTTCTTCTCGAGAAAAAAATAAATAAATAAAAATAGTGCACATATTAACTATTATCAAAATAAAATACAAATAAATAAAAATACGCGAGCCACTTATTTCATTTTTTGATTATTTATTCTTATTATGTGGCTCCGGCGTGACGCATAGTTATGCGCATGTGTCACTCTTGCGCTGTTGCCCCACACCATCTCGCGTGGGTGGCGTTCATGTTGACGGTGGCGCTGATGGTGCTAACTCGCACACGCCACCGCACACACGCACGCCTGTGTTGCAGGCCATTTGGAGTTTGAACGCGGTCTACGCCAAGACGGGCCTGCGGGACATGCACGTCATGGTGTGGTACTCCCTGCGCCTCATCTTCGCCACCCCCGCCTTCTTCGCCCTCGCCTACGTCCGCGAACGCGAGTCCCTCTTCAGGTACCCGCGCGTGTCGCGTGTGTCGTGCTATGTCGTGCGTGTGTGCTTACGTCATCATGCGTGTGTGCGTGTGCGGCACACACAGCTCGCGATCGCTCAAGGACTGGCTGTGGCTGGGAGGCCTGGGCATGATGGGGATGGTGTTCAACCAGCTGCTCTTCCTGAGCGGCCTCTCGCTCACGACGGCCACCAACGCGGGCATGGTGAGCCCGGCCATCTCCGTCTTCTCGACTGCCATCTCGGCCCTGCTCTGCCTCGAGAAGCTCTCCCTCTGGAAGCTCGGCGGCATCAGTATCACCGTCGTCGGCGCACTCATCATCCTCGAGGTACGCACCTTCACCGCTTGCGATGTGTGTCGTGTGCGGTCGTGTGTGATGAATGACAATGACACGCACACGACGACGCACACGACAGGTGGAGAACTTTGAGTTGTTTGGGTCGAGCGACATTCTGCTGGGCAACCTGCTGGCGATCTCGAGCACGGTGTGCTTCTCGCTCTTCATCGTCCTCCAGAAGCCGCTCACGGCGCGGGTCACGCCCACGGTGCTCAACTTCTTCGTGTTCGCCGTCGGGCTGGTGGTCATCGTGCCCATCACCCTCGTTGGCTTCTGGGACGAGGTCGTCGACGTCGCCCGCACCGCCCCGCTCAACGCCTACCTCTCCACCATCTACAGCGCCTTCGTCGCCGGCGTCATCGGTACCCCCCCCCGACCACACATTAGACCGCATTCGCACACACACACACACACACACACAACACGATCGTGACACTAATCCACGCGTGTACGGTGTGTGCGGTGCGTGCGTGCTGCGCAGGGTATTCGTTGAACACGTGGGCGATTCATCAGATCGCGGCGTCGACGGTGGCGCTGTTCTACTGCCTGCAGGCGCTCATGATCGCGCTCTTTGCGTGGGTCCTGCTGGGCGAGCAGCTCACCGTGCGGGTGGCCGTCGGCGGGCTGCTCATCATGGCGGGCCTCTTCACCGTCACCTGGTCCCTCGACCGCCAGCGCAAGAAGGACGCCCGGCTCGCTCTCGAGCAGCAGGAAGAAGAGCAAGAGGCCGCTGCGGCCAAGCTCCTCGACGCAGGCAACGACTACGACGACAACGACGAGAAGACGACGATGATGAAGATGAAGACGGCGATGGAGAAGAAGAGCGTGGATGGGACGATGCTGGTGATGGAGCTGTCGCAGGACGGTGCCTGGGTGTCTCCGACGTCGCCACCATCGCCCGAGCATCAGGAGAAGAGGCGGAGGAAGTCGGGGGAGGCGGAGTACGGCACCTTCGTGTAGCGCACACCCACGGTGCCAATTACGTTAACTTTCAAATACCATCATCATACCAACATTCCTACATTCCTTTGGGTTTGCTGTTCCCCTGTAGCGTCGTCTTTAGTCTTTTTGCGGACAAAACCCAAAACAGATTTGGCATGCCCGTGGCCAACTCTCGATTCTGTGTTTGAAACAACAAAGAGGAGACAAACAAGAAGAGGAGATGTCCGTGACGAAGCCCACCCTCACCTACTTTGACCTTGCCCCGCCTCATGCTCGAGGACGCCGGCGTTGACTACGCCTACGTCTCGGCCACCAACTGGCCCGCCCTCAAGCAGCAGCTCGGCGGTAATCACTCCCCTCCTACTGTGATCTCTTCACTCACGCTATATGCAATGCTAAATAAACCATATATTTACAAATATTGGAAACATGTCAACATCAACATCCAGACAAGCTGGCCTTTGGTCAGATCCCGCTCTACGAGGATCCTGACGTGCGGCTCGTGCAGAGCGGTTCGATTGCGCGCTACCTGGCCCGCAAGCACGGCTACAACGGAGCCAACGAGGCCGAGGCCGCGCGCGTGGACGTGGCCTACGAGGGCGCCAACGACTTCCTGGGTACCCTCCTCGGCTACACCCTGGGCACCCCCGACGACCAGAAGCCCGCCGCCCTGCGCAACCTCCTCAGCAACCAGGCGCCCACTCAGTTCCAGTTCTTCACCGCCCTCCTCGAGAAGAACGGCCGTAACGGCTACCTCGTCGGCAACAAGGTACCGTTGCATATGAACATAATGCGCGCGTGTGTATATATATATGTATATGGGCATTCATAGGAATGAGTGTTGACATGCAACGTGGTTTCTGCCAGATGAGCTATGCCGATTTTGCGCTGTACAATGCGCTCAACACGCTGGTGTCGCTGCCAGGCGGCCCAGCCCTGCTGGCCACCTTCCCGCTGGTCAAGCAGCTCCACCAAACCGTCGGCCAGTGCCCCCGCGTCAAGGCCTACGCCGCTCGCAACGTCTACGCCCCCAAGAAGGCCGCCCTCTAAGCTCGCCACATCATGTTTCTTTTCTGAAAATACGCCATGTTACATGTTTGTAACGACATACTCATTGGTGTCGCTGACGTCAGCAGCTGGCGTGTCGACATTGACATTGTCGACGTCAGTGGTGTCGTCGGCTGGTGGATCGAAGAAGAGGGCGACGGGGCGGGCGGCGAGGGTGTTGAGGCGGCGGGTGACGATCTGCTTGCGGGCCTTGTTCTGCGCGACGGCGTCGTAGCGCGCCCGGGCCTCGGGCCGCTTGAGCAGGTCATCGAGCGCGTCCTTGGCCAGCAGGCCGATCAGCTGCCCGCGCTTGTAGCGCAGCCGGTGGCGCACCTCGCCCTCGAACCCGATCTTGGACACGACGGCCGTGAGCCGGTTGGCGTTGACGTAGCGCTCGAACTCGTCGCACAGCCACCGCACGTCGACGTCGGCGCCCTCGCCGGCGAGCTTCTCGAGCTCCTGCGCGAGGCGCGCGTCGTCGCCCAGCTTGGCGTTGCGGTCGCGCTTGACCGGCTCGCGCTTGCGGATGTCGATGATCTCGGCGTAGAGGTCGATCTTCTTCTTGAGAATGACGCGCGACCCGTTGGTGAAGTAGGCGTTGCGCACCGGCTTGATGACGGTGCCCTCGGCCAGGTTCTTGTAGCCCTCGTACCGCGCACCCACCAGCGGCGGGTGGCCCAGCCGCTTCGGCAGCGTCGTCGTAAACTCGTGCGGGTACGCCAGACACTCGTCGAACGTACCCCTTCACGACACACGCGTGAGCCTCGTAAAAATTAACAAATAACAAATAAAAATAACAAATAAATAATAATACAACGTGTAGCGGGGGTGGTACTTGAGGAGGGCTTCGCCGTAGAAGAAGCCGGCGGTCTGGAAGATGCGCTCGGCGAGGTCGTAGTCGAGGTAGCCGTGGCCGTCGTGGAGGTCGAAGGCGAAGAAGTCGTAGGTGGGCGAGTAGTAGATGCCCTTCTGCACGTGCGCCTGCGTGGGCGGCGTCGGCAGGCCCGGGTACATGCCCCCGAACAGCTCCCCGTACACGTACAGCTGATGCAGCTTCCCATCATCGTCCAGCCCTGGTCGTCTCTCGCGCGTCAGCTATGTGCGCGTGTCATGTGTGTCGTGTGTGCGTGTGTGCGTGTGTGTGTGCGCGCGCGCGAGACGTAGTGCGTACGGCGTCGAGGCGGAGGGTGGGCGGCGTAGTGCTCCTGGAGAAGCTGGAAGGCGCGCAGGACGCGGTCGGTGTACATCTCGAGCAGGATCTCCCACCCTGGGTAGTACTTGTCTGCTCCACACCAAGGCCTCCGATTAGCACGACACGACACGACACGACACACACTACCGCACGACACGCGACACGCGACACGCGATACGTGAGGCCAACACACACAGGACGAGGCGCGCGTACCACCGGGAGCGAGGAGGGCCTTGCGTCGGGCGCCAGTAACGGTGGAACCGTCGGTGAGGAAACAGAAGTTGGAGCCGTGCACCTTTTCCATCACCACCCACTCACCCTCTATCGCAACATAACAACGATGACAACAACAACGACAACACATGACGACAGGATCCGTGCGACACGACGTGGTCAGTTGAGGGTTACATGTGGAGCGGGACTGCACAGCACAGAGACTGTAGAGGATTGGCCAGGGTTAAGGTACCGGCATGGCCCTCGGTCCTCACGGTCTCGGCTTCGAGCTGGTGGTTCTCGATGGACGCGTAGCGCCTAAACCTCGGCCCTGCCGGTGCTGCTGGAATGTTGTGGTGGAAATTATAGTTATATATTAAAAATATAAATTAAATAACAGTAGTGGAGGAACAGGGAACGCACCAGCGCTGGGTAGCTCTTTTGGTGGCAGGGTCGTGCTGTCTGGTGTTGGCGCCTCCATCTTGTCCAAGTGTTTGTTGCGGTCTGAAGAACAAACCCGAGTTTGGGCTTGTGGAGTTGCGAAATTACGCAGAACAAAATTCACAAAAGCCGATTTCTTTTTGTGGGCTTTAGGAAAAGTAAAAAGAAAAGGTGAAAGAAAGAAAACATGAGACGAGCAGGCTGGTGCACCGCGTTCGTGGTGGGGACCGCCCTGGGCGCGGGGGTGGCCGCCTCCTCCACCGAGTGGCCGCATCTGCGTGGGCCTCCTCTTCTTTCCTCTCGGCCCGTGCTCGCGGCAGAGACTGCCACCTCTCCTCCTCCTTCTTCCAGCTCCGGCCACCGTGCGCACCACCTCCCCCACTCATCTATGATGAAGGTGGTGCGCTGAACACGAGTTACTTGTGTAGGAGGTGGTGCTGGTGAAGTAGTGCCACCTCCGCCGATGCTGCGGCGCCGGCTGCCCAGCCTCGAGACTGCCCCGACCCACTTGAGCGGCACCAGACAGCGGCGGGCGGAAGTGCAGGCCGACCCGCGGTGGCGGGCCATCAACCTGCCCAGCCTCGAGGACCGCCGCGCCCTGGGCGCCCGCGGTGGTACCACCCTTGCCCCCCCCTCCCATTGATGCAACCCCCGCGTTTTTCTTTTTCTGATTGGCGCACGACACGCTACATGGCTGCACGCGCAGAGCACTACGTGTGGCAGGACTCGAAGTTCGAGGGCTTCGAGCTCTACTTCAACGATGAGGCCAGGTCGGCCATGGGCTTCATCGACTTTGGCACCCGGTGCGAGGGTCCGCCCGGTACGAACACCATCACACAACGAGTGCACACCACACCACACGCTCCCTTTCTGGATCGCGTGGTCACTCCCCTTGTTCGGCACACGACACACGCACGACACGCACGACACGCACGACTCACGCCTTGCACGCATTGCTGGTGGTGGATTGCAGGGTGCGTGCACGGCGGGGCGCTGGCAACCATTTTTGACAACGTGCTGGGAAGCACTGTTGTGGAGGGGCTCAAGGGCCAACGAGCCGTCACCCTCAACCTCGATGTGAACTACCGGAAGGTATACGCCCCAGCCACCACGCGTTGATCTGCATGCTCTTGCTCCTCGACGTTAACGTGTGTGTGTGCGTCGCGCAAACATGGAAACAGTTCACGCCGCTCGGGAGTGTAAAGATAATTGAGACGCGGATCGACCGAGTTGAAGGGCGCAAGGTGTACGTCACCGCCACCCTCACCGACGGCGAGGACGGCACCCTGCATGCCGATGCTTCGGCCCTCTTCCTCGTCGTCAACTTGCAGCAGATCAGGGACCAGATCCACAAAGGCAACAACAGCAACAGGCCCAGCTCCTGATGTTGATGTTCGTGTTTGGCCTTAACTACGAAAGTGAAAAGAAAACGAGAAGAG